TAAAGAATACAATTATCATCGAAATGGACAAAAAGAAATCAACATCAACTGCTAGTGGATCATCTTCTCCTTCCACAATAAATAAACCAAAAAAATCATCATCAACAACAGCAGCAGCATCACTACCAACAACAACGACAAGCAGAAATGCAGTACTTCCTCAAACTGCTCGTCGGATTCTTCAAAATTTCCTTTTGGTATGGCTCGATGCCAATTTGCAAGAATCAGATAACGATTTTAAGAATTCATTGCAACATCTTCGAAAAATTGTGGCATCCATCACAACGTTTACGGATGCCCAACAATGCGTTAATTTCCTAAGTGAAATCAAAAAAGAAAAGGTATTTATGATCGTATCAGGTTCCTTGGGTCGTCAAATAGTACCAGAAATTGAAGCATTGCCACAACTGGAAGCAATTTATGTGTTTTGTGGCAACCAATCGGTTCATGAACAATGGGCTAAAAAAATAAGCAAGGTTAATGGTGTATATACTAATATACAACCAATTTGTCAAGCACTTGAAATCGATCGACAACGATGTGATCAAGCTATGATCCCGATCAGCTTTAATGGTCGTGATGCATTATTTATGTATACACAACTTTTAAAAGAAGCGCTTTTGGAAATTGAAGATGACGATGTCAAATCAATTAAAGATCTCGTCGAATACTGTCGTCTGCAAGATGATATTGATGAAGGTCAAATTAGGAAGGTCGAAAATGAATATCGTGATCATACACCAATATGGTGGTATACGGCAGAGACATTTATTTATCCAATGCTCAATCGTGGTCTTCGACAAATGGATGTCGACATTATTCTGAAGATGGGTTTCTTCATCCGTCATTTACATCAACATATTACCGAATTACATCGTGAACAACAAGGGAACATGCCAACAAATTTTCAAGTCTTCCGTAGACAAGGTTTGTCCATGGAAGATTTTGAAAAAATGAAAAAAACCAAAGGAGGACTTATGTCCTTCAATAATTTTCTGTCGACAAGTCGCAATCGTGAGATATCTTTCAAAAACTTTGCACGACCAGCAGCATTAAATACAAATTCAGTTGGTATTCTCTTCGTTATGAACATTGACACGGCTATTTGCACGAAATCCTCAACACCATTTGCTGCAGTAAGCAAAGTTGGCTACTACAAAGATAAAGAGGAAGAAATACTATTTTCAACACATGCGATTTTCCGTATCGATCGCATTGAACGAATTGAAGATAAACATACTGATCGCTTATGGCAAGTTAATCTCACCATCGTGGGTAATCAAGATGATGACTTTAACACACTCACAGCACATCTGCGAGAAGAGTCCACGTGGGCAACAGGATGGGCTCGATTTGGTCACATACTTATTAAACTTGGTGAGCCCGCAAAAGCAGAACAACTCTATAGAATCCTCCTTCAAAAGCCATCTTCAGATAAAGATCAGGCGAACTACAGTTTACAACTCGGTTCGGTGTATTATAACATGGGCGAGTACTCAAAAGCACTTTCATCGTATGAACGATCACTTGAAATCCGTAAAATAGCTCTCCCTCCGAATCATCCCGACTTGGCTGCTTCCTACGAAGGTATCGGGTTGGTGTATGATAACATGGGCGAGTACTCGAACGCACTTTCATCGTATGAACGATCACTTGAAATCAAGAAAATAGCTCTCCCTCCGAATCATCCCGACTTGGCTGCTTCCTACAACAACATCGGTTCGGTGTATGATAACATGGGCGAGTACTCGAAAGCACTTTCATCGTATGAACGATCACTTGAAATCCGTAAAATAGTTCTCCCTCCGAATCATCCCGACTTGGCTGCTTCCTATAACAACATCGGGTTGGTGTATAATAACATGGGCGAGTACTCAAAAGCACTTTCATCGTATGAACGATCACTTGAAATCAAGAAAATAGCTCTCCCTCCGAATCATCCCGACTTGGGTGCTTCCTACAACAACATCGGGTTGGTGTATAAAAACATGGGCGAGTACTCAAAAGCACTTTCATCGTATGAACGATCACTTGAAATCAAGAAAATAGCTCTCCCTCCGAATCATCCCGACTTGGCTAATGCCTACAACAACATCGGAGAGGTGTATAATAAAATGGCCAAGTACTCAAAAGCACTTTCATTGTACGAAAGATCAGTTGAAATCCGAAAAGTAGCTCTCCCTCCGAATCATCCTCACTTGGCTGAATCCTATAATAACATCGGTGATGTGTATAACAACATGGGAGAGTACTCAAAAGCTCTTTCATTGGTTGAAAAAGCGATTGATATTCGCAAAGAAACTCTTTCTCCGAATCATCCTGATTTGGCTACTTCGTACAATAGTATTGGTCTAGTTTATGAAAACATGGGCGAGTACTCAAAAGCACTCTCATTTCTACAAAAAGGACTTGACATACGACAGAAATCACTTCCGTCCAATCATCCCGACATTGCGCAGTCGAAAAGAAACATTGAAAATGTAAAAAAGAAAATGTAATTGTCTTTTTTTTTGATTTTAAAGAGAAAATAAATTGGCCTTCTTGAACCCAAGGCTCGCCGAAGCAAGCAGCTGCAAAAATTCGCGCACGCGCGACCAGAAATACCCTCCGTATTCTGCTGGCTCGTACAGTGGACAAAGCCGGCAATGGTTAGGCAAACATACATCGATGTACGTATGAATAGTACAACCATGATCATCATCTTCGAAAAGACGATGACGAAATGGACGCTTCTATTCATACATACATAGATGTATGCTATGAAGGCCTACCATCTGCACGCCTGCACGGGTCACCAATAGAACGTCGGATATCCCTGGGAAGGTTCAATTGTTTTAGAGCCACCCTCAAAAGCTCCATTAGTTAGAAAATCATTTTTGTTCTTCTGTTATGAAGAACGAAGAGAAGTAGAAACGGAAGAAAGAGAAGGTATGAAAACGGAAAGACGCGATAAAAGACGACGTCGACTCAACGAAATGATAATACGCAGCGCATGACAACAACCGGTGTTTGCCAAGCAATGGAATATTGAGTGCACGATATCTTTGTAGTCTTTAAACATTTCATGTTCAATTCGTGCGTGTTTTCATCTCGAATGTGTAAAGATAACTTGAATGTCATGCACTTGCCATTCTAACAAACGAACGATGATTGAATGAAACGGCGGATAAAAACAATACATTCGCCGTTAATTTGAGTAATAACTCATGCACTGCATCTACTTAAATAGAGATAAAGAATAGAAAAAAAAGGAAAGTTTTAAATATATTTTTTTTTACACTTTATGATGATATGTGATGGTTACGTTAACATTGATGGTCAAAAGCAACATGACTCTTTCGAAAGATACTTATCAGGTTGCTATTTTTAAATGTGCATTAATATTAATACCTCGTCAGAAAATAAAAAGAATAAATATTTTTCTTTATATATTCATGAGACAATTCTTAATTAAGACAAATTATATAGATTAAAAAGCCTAATTAATCGTATATCTTTTCAAATAAATAAGATAATTGTAAATGCTTATTTAAACTTAAAAAGAAAAACTTCTTGGATAAGGAAAATCTAATTAAAAAAAGAAAATATTGAAGAAAAACTTCTTCAAATAATGGAACGTGATATAAAAGTTATTATTTGTCGACAATGTCATTATACATCATATAAACAATCAATATTATGTAAACAAAAACAACATTATATTAAAATATGTGAAATAAAACAAAAATTTTTTGAATGTATTGAATGTCATAAACGTATTTTTACTTGGTCACAATATCCAATAGAAAATTGTATGAATTGTCATAGTTTAAAAGGTTTTCGTCGTACATCTTTAATACGTGAACGTCATGGAACGAAATTTGAAGATGAAATTTTATTATTACGTGGTGAAGAAGAAAAATTTCTTAATTCGTTTATTAGTTATAAAAAATTACCTAATATTATCGATTAATTAAGATTTCATTAAATTTTCTTTTTACAACATAATCATATATATTACATAAAAAATAAAAATAATATTTTGTTCTTTATCTGTTTAAGATATATACATATATAAAGTTTTTTTTTTTGTTTCGATGGCAACTGTTCAGTGATTGTCTTCAACCAAAAGTGTCGAAGTACTTCATACAATGACTATTGGATAATTTTTATTTGTTCAATTTTTAAGAATTTATAAATCTAAGATTTGAGTATTGTCTTATTTGATTATTAAGTGAAAAGAAAATGGCAAATAGAGATATGTTTTACGGAGATCAATTCTAGTCTTTGACTTAATCTAGATAAACTGTTATTAAACTTATTCGCATGGAATCTAAAAAAAATATTCATCTTTTAAAATACATTCAGTCAATGATTATCACTTTTTAAGGTCATCTATTCTAAAATTTGTTCCAATTGGTTAGAATGTTTATTTCTTGAGATTTTATTAATTCACTTGTTGATAAGGTTCGAAGATTTTACCTTAAGATTTTAACCATTTACGAAGAACGTTAATAGACTAATGGCTCAAAACAGAGATGTCCATGGCGACACGTTTCTCAAAATCCCATCGCGGCAGCGGCAGTTTTTCAGCCGCGATGGACATCTCTGGCTCAAAAGTCAGAATTTTATGTCTTTGAAAAGATATGAACAATATCATAGGAAAGTTCATTTGTTATTTGTAGAATAGAATCTATCTATTTCACGAGGTACACAAAATTCTACCACCGGATAACAAGTACAAATGAATTCTTAATCACTTTTCATATGATTCAAATCGCAAGAAAACTACCGGTTAGTGTATCGTCATGTGTTGTATCAAAATGGTTGAATAGTTTTTGAAGTCCATTAAAATTAACAGAATTGAATCGGTTTCTATCCAATCTGATATTGTTGAAGTGCCTGAATCACTTATATCAATTACAGATTCCAGGTCGATTCCAGTTCTTAGAAAATTTTTTTATGATAGATGGCGCTGCAACAAACTTTATTAATAAAAAATATTTTGAGATTATTTTTTCTCGATGAATTTAAATTCTTTCTAATATTAAATTCGAATTTGGATAGAAAACATTTTGGAAGTATTCGTCGATTAAAGGAATGCAGAACATTACAAACTTAATAAGTCTCTCTATCAATTTTTATCTTCAATATGAAGAGCATGAGTCAATAAACGTGCGTCATTTTCTGATATGACGACATAAGCAAATAGCAGAAAAAAGAAGAATATTTAAAACATGTTG